CCAAGGCGCCCTTATTCAGCTGCTGCTGAAACTTCCCGGAGTCAGCCACTGGTCATCTTCAGGACCAACCCGGGAGCACCCCAGCTGCTCTGCCCCAGGCGTCCCCAATTCAGCCGCTGCTGAAACTGACCAGCAGTGGCTGAATCAGGGACGCCTGAGGCAGAGCCAGACTATCGGAAGGGGGGCTATGAGGGGTCTGGGGTGGCATCCCCCCCACCCCACCCCAGACTCCTCATAGCCCTCCCTTCCAATAGTCTGGCATATCTGATAATCTGGCACCCCCCGGAACCTAAAGGTGCCGGATAATCGGAAGTTTACTGTACCACTATTTTCGCCGTGCGAAGTAGTCCTCCACTTGATTATGTTCATGTTATTTTGGGGACGGTCGTGTTATTCAAAAAACATTCCCTAAAAAAAATGTGCTATTGTGAAAACGTGTTAAGTGGGCACGTGTTAAACGAGTAATTACTGTATCTCAAGGACTGCATTCAGATTGTGCCTGTCGTAAAGAAAAGTGGGGGACTGGAAATCAGTGAACCGAATGTAGTGTATTGGTAATAAGGCCTCACAGAATAGTGAGGGATGGACTAGTCCACCCATGGCTCCCTTTTGGCATCCTTAAAAGATTGTTTGAGGAAAATTTGAGGAAATGAATGGAAAAGGGCAATGACTGCTAATTGAAAGAAGGGAAGGAGTGAGCTCTACCAATATGGTTGCCACTGTCTCCAGGATACCAGGGATCTGCCATAATACCACTAGATATCTCAAAAGATGTCCAAACTAGATTGGGCCAAAAACCAGAACCTAGATGACATCACTGCCTCCATTGGCTCTGACTAGCTCCCAATCGCTGCATGGGCTGTAAGGCTTTGCCATTTATCCTCACCCCCATGCATCCTTTTCGCCTGTGCTGTTCTCCTCTCCTCCTCCCAGCATTTTCTTTCTTCCCATGTCTGTCCTCCTTTGCTTTCCGTCTGACCAGTCTGGATTAGCTGGCCAACACTGGACATTGTGAGCCTGTGACCAAAGATGCAACTAAAAGCGGTGGCCTACACAGCCTGATTCTGGTACAAGTTTGCCAGGCGTTGGACTCATTTTTGTTCTGAGCCTGTATTCCCAGTAGTGAGGCAACAACTGATGGTCTACATGAATTTGAAGCTGCATTTTCTATCTTTGCTGTTCTTCCTCTTCCTCTCTTATGTATGTGTTGTGTTTGGCCTTTTAAGAAATAGGACCAGACTTTAACAACAGCTGTATCTCATCTTAGCTAGCATCTGTTTTTCCTCCAATAGAACAGGCATTAATATTTTTGATACCACCTAAAAGACGGTCAAACAAGGGATTTTTTTCCCTACTAACAATCAACCCTCTCAATCTAAAGGGGAAAAGGGATGTGGCTCAGAGGAAAGCCTTACTTAATATTTCAACTGTCTTTCCTTCTTTTTAAAAGATGAAAAGGATTCATAATGATGTGGGTTTTTTGCACTGGTACCAAGCAAGCTGAAATTTCTGTATACCCAGCCTTGAACCTTGTTTAAAACTGACTAATGCTGGACCGTGTTAGCTCTTTGAGACTGGCTATTCCTGTTTTGTAACCCTTAATAAACCTGACAGCAAGGAGACTGAAGGTTATGGACCAGCTCTCAGGTTTCCTCATTTTAAAGAACAGAGGATGGCATTCCAGTCCCAATGACGTCAATTAGGGTATGTCTACACAGCAGCATTATTTCGGACAGGGCCGGCTTTAGGAAGTGCGGGGCCCGATTCGAACAGTTTCGACGGGACCCCGGCAGCCAGGATTTTTTGTTGAGCAAGCAAAAAAAAAAAACCAAACAAAAAACTCACCACACACAAAAATGAGTAACAGCCCCTTTAAACACCCAGCTCCCTACACCCTCACCAGACACTGCAGGGGAAGAATGTCCCAAGCGGTCTCCAGCAAAGCCAGGAAGTACACAACGCTGATGGTAGTTGTGGGAGTCCCCATCGCCACTGTAGCTGTGCTTTGGCACTGTGTGGCTGTGTCTAGACTGGCAAGTTTTTCCGGAAAATCATCTGCTTTTCTGGAAAAACTTGCCAGCTGTCTACACTGGCCACTTGAATTTCCGGAAAAGCTCTGACGATCTCATGTAAAATCATCTGTGCTTTTCCGGAAAAACTATGCTGCTCCCGTTCAGGCAAAAGTCCTTTTCCGGAAAACTGTTCCGGAAAAGGGCCAGTGGAGACAGCAGAGATTTCTTTTCCGCAAAAAAGCCCCGATCACGAAAATGACGGTCGGGGCTTTTTTCCGGAAAAGAGCGTCTACATAGGCACGGACGCTTTTCTGGAAAAAGTGCTTTTCTGGAAAAGCATCCTGCCCATGTAGACGTGCTTTTTCCGGAAATACTTATAACGGAAAACTGTTCCATTTTAAGCTGTCAGATGCAAGTGTTAGTGCTTTGTGACAATGCTCCTCCACATGTGTCATGGCTTGTAGGCTTGGGCCCTGCTTGCATCCAGAACATCTCATTAGACGATCGCCTTACCTATTCCAGCTGTAGCGCTGTTAAACTTACAAATGTAATAAAGTAGCCTGCAAAGAAGACAAGCGGTAGCCTTGACCTCTTGCATCTGTGAGTTAGTTCATTTTCTTTCACGGATAGAACATAGCCCTATGCAAAATCTAAATTTGTTCTAGCTTTTCCATGGGGAGGAAAATCATCCCCTGACCGGTTAAAGATGAGTTTGGAATATAATGTTAAAGGCCTTTCTATTTCAAAAGTTGTTCTGTTTGCTTGAGATTCTTTATTTTTACTCTACTAGAAGATTTACCCAGTGTTGCTCGGGTCCTTAACTTAATGTTTTTCTTCATTTAAATCATTGCTCTGGGGTGGGGCTGGGGAGGAGGGGTTCAGGATGCAGGCTGTCCTGGGGAGAGAGGACAACCCTAGCCCTCTCTCACTGCAGCAGCTTTGGTCCAGGTGAGAAGCGCTTCTCCATGGTTGCTGCAGCTCCAGCGGGAATAGCCAGGGGAGGGGTGCAGGTCCCCTGGTGGAGGGCAGATCCAGGTATGTTTGCTCCCTGAGCTCCCCAGCCAGAGTGAGGAATGCAGCAGACTGTGCACTTTCCCCTCGCTCCCTGATGAAAAGGAACAGCCTGAAATGTTCCTGTATGAATTGGGGACAGGACCCCCCTGCCCTGCCTAAAGGGTGTCTGAGGGGGTTTGGAAGCTTGGGGCTGGGGCAGCCCCCAATGTGGAGACATCTCCAGCCAGCCCCTTCCATCTGCCTGATGATTCTATCTCTTTTTTTTTTTCTTTACAATTTTATGAGAAGCAATCCCATTCCAGGCACATCCCATTTTCCTGGCACCACCAACCCCTTATTTTGCTTTAAGTGTTATGATAAGAAGCAGCTGTATACCAAATTTGGTGAACATAAGAATGGCCATACTTGGTCAGACCAAAGGTCCAGCCAGCCCAGTACCCTGTCTGCCGACAGTGGCCAATGCCAAATGTCCCAGAGGGAGTGAATTGAACAGGTAATGATCAAGTGATCTCTCTCCTGTCATCCATCTCCACCCTCTGACAAACAGAGGTTAGGGACACCATTCCTTACCCAGACTGGCTAATAGCCATTTATGGACTTAACCTCCATGAATTTATCTAGTTCTCTTTTAAACCCTGTTATAGTCCTAGCCAACCTCCTCAGGCAAGGAGTTCCACAGATTGACTATGCGCTGTGTGAAGAACTTCCTTTTATTTGTTTTAAACCTGCTGCCCATTAGTTTCATTTGGTGGCCTCGCTTTTACTGTTTTAAGAGGAGTTCTTGAACAAATGGACTCCCAGGTGGACAGATGCAGAGAGGCACACGTACTCTCTCAAATATATGTAGATATTAAGTTTGAGTGGCCAGATTTTTGTGTTATCTTTATTTGCTTATTCAATATAATAATAATAATAATAATTTAAAATCTGTGTAGGTGAAGTGGCTACAGCAGCAGGAAGTGAAACGAAGAGTTAAGAGACATGTCCGAGGTGACTCTCATTTGATTCACTTCAATGACCCGATGTGGTCTAAAATGTGGTATGTGGTGAGTATCTTTGGTTGTCTTCCTTTTGCTAGCCAGGAATTTTGCTATGGCAGAGTTAGTTTACAGAGCACTTACCACAGAGCGTGCGCAACACAGAGAGAGAGAGAGAGAGAGAAATTGCTTAATTTCACTGAGGTTGCATCTACACAGCAGGGCTTAACTTGAAATAAGTTGCGCAAATGGATGTTGTCAATTGTGTAGCTTATTTCGAAACTGGGAGCACATATTTCAGAATAGCTCACTCTTCCTCTGACTTCTCTTACTCCTCGTACAATGAGGGTTACAGGGGTCGGAGTAAGTCCTCCAGCGTGACAGTATTTCAACATTATTTCGAAATAACTGCCGGCAGTGTACATGCGGACTAAGTTATTTTGAAATAATGTTGCTGTGTATTCGTATCCTGACAGTGTAACTCACTGACTGCCGTGTTTGTTTCCATGATAGTGCTTTGTTGCTGTATTAATATATCCCAAGTTGCAGAAGAATGTAGTTTTAGAGGCAGCGTGGCCTAATGATTCTGCATCGACCTGGGACTCAGGTGTCCTGGGGTCTCTTACTGGTTCTGCCACTCGCCTGCTGAGTGACAGTGGGCAAGTCATTGCCTTTCCTGTGCCTCAGTTTCCACATCTGTAAAATTGGGATGATGCTACTGACCTCCCGCATAAAGTGCTTTCAGATCTGCCTGACAAAAAGTGCTATGGAAAAGCTGTGTGTTATTCTGCTGTAATTAGCTTTCATAGTGACCATTTTATCATTGGCACACAATTTTAAGCTTAAAAGGGTTGAAAATACCTCTGTGCAGTAACTTAATTTTATTTTGGTTCATTAATTGGTGTTTGGCGGGGGAAAGTAATTTCAAATAAAGGAGTTTAATAGAAATGCTACTTTATATTCAGACAAAGTTGAAGATCCCTACCTGAAGTGGATGAACCTAATGATATTAAGATTTCAGTTCCCCTCATTGATTTGTTTGGGGATTTCTTGATCTAGTCTGAATATTTAAAACAGCTTTACAAATAGCTTGATAAATCGTCCAATGTAAATGTATTGCCAGATTATTTGATTTGCTTGCACAGTGCCACTCTTCAGCTGAATTGGGTAATGTTTTCAATTTGCCCTTTGCTATTTCTGCCCTCAGCACTGTGGAGATAAAAACAATCCCTGCCGGTCAGACATGAATATTCTAGCCGCCTGGCAGAGAGGATACACTGGCAAAAATGTGGTGGTGACCATTCTTGATGATGGCATAGAGACCAGTCATCCTGATCTTGTAGAGAACTATGTAAGTAGTGTGTGTGTGTGTGTGTGTGTGTGTGTGTGTGTGTGTGTGTGTGTGTGTGTATTTGCATTTTAATCTTTTAGACCGGAATCTCAACTGGAAAATATCCTGGGGAAAATGATAGTGCTTCAAGGAAAATGGGAGCAGAGACTTCCCCCACAGACACTGAATTTGTTTCTGAAGAACTTTACAATTAAAAACATAACCTAAGATAAGTCATGTATAGAAGAAGGGTGAAGAAAAACACCAAAACTTCAGATTTGAAATAAACATGATTAGGAAGTGGTGGTAGAATGTTATTAAACCTTCATCAGTTTCTTGTAGAGTAAAATCTAGGGATGTTAGTGTATAGTCGAGGAAACGATTAACCGATAAGCCTGGGTTTATCGGTTATTCCTGTAGACTACACAGACTTCCCCCCTTACTGCCTCTGTATCAGAGGCAGCAAGGGTGGGGAGGTGGGAGCCAGTGCCCATGGGGAACTGGCTTTTAAGCGAGCTCCCCATGAGCATCCGATTTTGTGGCACAGCCTGCCTCCCCACTCCACCCCACCCCAGCCCTGCTGCCTCTGATGGTGAGGGAGACAGGCGGGAACTGGTACACATGGGGAGTCAGCTTTGAAGTCAGCTTTCTGTGCACGCTGGCTACATGGAGCCACCTGCCTCTCCCCCTTGCTACCTCCCACAGAGGCTGGGGGGGGCAGGTGGGAGACAGCCCTGGGGGGAAGCTGGCTTTAAAGCCAACTCCCCATGAGCACCAGCTTCACGGAGTTGCCTCCCATCCTCCCCTGCGTTACTGCCTCTCTATCAGAGGCGGCGGGGGAGGGAAGGAGAGGGATGCTTGCGCAGCCTGTTCATGGGGGAATTGGGCCTCCTGCGGACAGGGGGTGCTGCTGTGGAGCAGCCTCTGTCCACGACGGGCCCAGGCTTACCTTGGACAGAGGCTGTTCTGTGGGATGCTGGAGCAGCTCCTGTCGATGGGGAGCTCGGACCCCCCACGGACAGGGGCTGCTGCCGCCCCACACTGGTGCCTCTAATAGAGAGGCAGCAACACAGGGCAACAGGTGGGACCCAGTCTGATTGTTAAACCCGCTCCCCTCGCAGACGGGCTCCTGCCTGCCACCCCACGCTGCTGCCTCTGATACAGAGGCAGCAGCAAGGGGTGTCAGGGAGCTTCCTGGGAGTGGGGCCGGGAGTGCACTGGCTGCTGAATCCAGCCCCGGGGACTATCGAATAATCGTGTAGCTGCTAAGATTTTGTGTGGTTACATGATTAATGAATGAATAGCTATCTAAGGGTATGTCTACACTATTCCCCTAGTTCGAACTAGGGGGGGTAATGTAGTCATACGGAGTTGCAAATGAAGCCCGGGATTTGAATTTCCCGGGCTTCATTTGCATGAAGCCAGCCGGCGCCATTTTTAAATGCCAGCTAGTTCGGACTCTGTGCCGCGCGGCTACACGCGGCACGGACTAGCTAGTTTGGATTAGGAAGCCTCCTGTGGTCAAAGACAAAGATGATGTCAATGGCTTTGCTCAGCCAGAGTTGGAAAACAGAACAAGCAAGACCTAAGACTTTCCACAGCTAATCTCTTTCCTGGCCCAGGGAAATCTAATACGAGAGTCAGGCTGACTTTTTAACTGAAAGATCCTAATTGCCAATCACCCAACCCCCAAATCCTCATGAGGAACCTGAGGGCTTTGGATTACATTCTATCTTGGCAACACGGACTGTAGCATTTACCCCTCTAGCCTGACCATGACACATACTGTATGGAGTCGATACATTTACCACAATTTCCTGGTTCTCACTCTTTTCCTGTGAAGACCCTCTGCTAGCTCAGTATTCGGATGAAGCAGGTGTGTGCGTGGAATGCCTTCCTGGGTTATAAACAGGAACTGAAACACTTTTTACCTGTCAAGCCAAGAGTTTCACTGGTTAAGAACATAAGATCAGCCATGCTGGGTCAGACCAAAGGTCCATCTAGCCCAGTATCCTGTCTTCCGACAGTGGCCAATACCAGGTGCCCCAGAGGGAGGGAACACAACAGGCAATCCTCACATGATCCCTCCCCTGTCATCCGTTTCCAGACAAACAAAGGCTAGAGACCTCCTACCCATCCTGGTTATTATCCATTGATGGACCTAATCTCCATGAATCTATCTAGGCTGATGTGTCTCCCGCAACAGTTGACAATGTTCTAATACATAAACAGCACAGTCCAACAGGCCTGTAAGATATTGACAGGAAACGTTTCTGACCACCTTCTGTGCCCAGAATCCTATTCTTTTTACTGCTTTGGTAGGTTTGAAATGCCTTTGTTATAGACATGCCCCAAGAGCTAATGATTTTAATCTCAGATCCTGGGGTTCTTGCTGTGTTTTCCCTCATTCCCTATGAGGCAAACTCCCGTGGGTGAGAAATGATGGACCACAGGATTCTGCTCACTGTGCAAAGTGAATCACTCTGAATAGATTCATCCTTTGTTGTCAGTAGCTGTAAAAGAGCTGGGTGAGGTGCTTTCTAAGCCCTTTTAAAGAAGTGCTCACATCCCGCAAATGCACAGGAATGCTCCACTGGCTCACGAGCAATTAGACACTCAGGAAAAAGAAATGCCTTGGAAATTTCAGAGATCCCTGTTAAGCTGTTTCTCCTCTGGGCTTGCAAGCTCTGGTTCCCAGCCTGAGGAGCATGCTGGATTGAATAATGAATGCTGATAGCCTTTGTTCGTCTTAAGCAAATACTTGAGAATTAAATTAGAAGGGCCAGGTTATTGTCTAGGCCAGTTCCCCAGCCCCAGCGCTCGGAGTGCGAGTGTAGCATCTCCCCTAGCTCACAGGCTTTTCATTTAAGCATTTTGCTTTATTTGTAGAGCAAATACTTCGCAGCTGCCCGGAAGGGTGTAATTGGGAAAGATATTGGGAAAGATAATTGGGAAAGATATTGAACTGCTTTCTTGTCAGGGGTGAGACAAAGATTAGGGAAAGGGCGCCCTGCAATAAATGAACCTGGCATCTTGGTTGTGCCTGAACTATTGCTAACCCAGGAGAGGCCTCTGTCTGTCAGATCCCAGCAGTGGGCACGGCTTCATTTACATCGCTGCTTTGAAGGAGGAAAGTCGTCCCACGCTAATGTTATGATCGTTTGTTAAATGTAACGCCCAAGGGGAGGCACGCTTTCTTGGGGCGTGCTTAGAAGATCGCGCCCAGTTACATTTGCTGGGTGAATTCAGCGTTTCTCTAAGTCAGATTGACTAGTTGTGCTCACTGGTTAGACGATGCAGGGCGCTCATGACACTGTAGCTGTATATTTTTGTTAGTGCCGCAGGACTACGCATTGTTTTTAAAGTCACAGATTAACACGCCGACCCTTCTGGGACTTACTAATGAAGGTGCAATGTTTTTAGGATCCTCAGGCGAGCTATGATGTCAATGACAATGACTGTGACCCAAATCCACGCTACGATGCCAGCAACGAGAATAAGTATGTTGCCTTCCTTATAATGCCCCTCGCCCTTAAATTGTGTGGTACTTTCCAAGCATGTCACAGACATGAACCTCAGTAGCTTCCTCCCAGACGGGTGGGTTAATAGCACAGGAAGCCTTAGCTCTCTTGGGATTTCATAGATGGGGTAAGTGAGGCAGAGAGACAGTGACTCCTGCAAGGGTACTTGTCCGAGTTATGCTTAGAGCTTAGGAGTTCCTGGCCTCTAGTCGTGTGCCTTGCCCATTAAGCCATTACATGCCATACAACATGTGCATGATCAGTATTGCAGAACCGTGACAGTTAGTAAGTCATTCTAGTAGGCTGCAAATAGTTAAAGGTAGAATCCTTGAGTGGGATCTGGCTTATTCCATTTTGCACATGGTCTCCAGTGGCCCGCTAGGCCCAAACCCTTCCTTCTTGACTAAGGGACCCCCACAGCCCTCCTTCTGGGGCTTGTACTGTTCTTCTTGGTCTCCGTGATCGACCCTTCAGCAGCTCCACTCCAACAGGCAACAGAGACGGTCACAAACAGAATCCAATGGTGTCTCTCCACTGGTAGTTTACCTCAGTTTTAAATTGGGCCTGACCCAGCCCATCCTTCCTACGGGGTCTGTCTTACCTCTTCTGATTCAGCTTTCTGGCCCTGGCTTCTAAACTCCCTTGGCATCAGGGCTTTCCCTGCAGGAACCTTACCCACTCTCTATAGGCTCATGATCTTCCCCTCTCTGCTTCTCATTCCTCTCTGGCTCTTCATAAGAACCCCCTGTCTTCTACCAGGCCCCAGCAAGGCGGTGAGCAAGGTGGGCTGCAACAGTTCACTCTTCAAGGGGGGGAAGGTGTGTGACATGTAGGCATCTATTTAATGTCACCCACTGTTTTCAGATCACCATACACTGTCCTTCCTTGCCCACGCCTTAAAAATGGATCAGGCCCATAGGCCATCTTGTCCAGTGTCTTGTCTCTGACCGTGACCAGTGCATGATGCTACCAAGAAGGGCGATGGAACTCTCTAATAAGGAGACTTGGAAATCTGACCCCTGCTTCACGCTGATCTCTAATCAAGATTCGCTTAAACTCTGCAGCACGAGATTTAATATCCCAACCAGCATTCTTATTGCTAGTTAGGATGAGTCTGGAAAGTCTTGATACCCATCTCAATATCCAACCCCTTTCGGAATCCTGCAGAGACTTGGCCTCTGCAATTTCCTGTAGCAATGAGTTCCACAGTCTAATTATGAGTTGGGCGGGAAAGCATTTCTTTTTCAAATTTTAATTTACCATCTTTGTATTGGAAAAACTTAAACAACAAATAGTCTTGCAGCACCTTAGAGACTAACAAAACATGTGGATGGTATCATGAGCTTTCGTGGGTACAACCCTCTTCCTCAGTCTATTTGTTGTTTTTAAAGTTTTTCCAGTTACAGACTAACTCGGCTACACCTCTGAAGGCATCTTTGTATTGGTTGCCTCCTTGTTGTGTTTTGAGGACAGAAGCTTACCTTTTCTAAACCATTCATTATCGTATATACTTTTTGTCAAGTCCCTACTTATCTGCCTCCTTTCTAAGAGAAACCATCCCAGTCTTTCTAATCTCTCTTTATCTGAATGTTTTTACAGCCCTTTCCTCATTCTCTCACCCTTTTCTAAATCCCTGCCAGTCCTGCAGGAGACAGGCGAGAAGTATTTTGGGCCAGGTCTACACTAGACCCGACAACTCAGTTTAAAGTTTGCAACTCCAGCTATGTAGAATACGTAGTTGGAGTCAGCTTACCTTAAGCTGAGCCTGGCGGAGTCTCCACAGCAGGAGGCTGATGGGGGTAAATGCTCCTATCAACTTCCCTTACTCCTCACAAAAGGAGGAGTACCGTACACCAGTGGGGGTCGCCCTCTGAGTATGATTTAGCGAGTCTTAATTAGACTCACTAAATCGAACTCCAGAAGATCAATCACAATAGCAACGATCTTCCATTTATAGTGTAGACAAGGTCTTGGTAAGGCCGGAACACCGATTAAAATACCACACTTGTAGCAAGTGTCTGCACGCTATCAGCTCAACTCTCTTTCCCCCTTCTCCTCCGGACCGGAACCTGTTATTTTAATTCAATTCTGTCCTCCTAACTGTGGCATATATATGTCTGTGATCATACAGCAAAGCTCCCCTCATGCGGTGAACACCAGTTGCCAAGTAACTTGCTATCGATCCCGCAAACGCAATGCCAATAGACTTTTCATGCCCTACGTCCCAAATGACCCACTGAAGACTAATAATGAGCCTGTTCTCCTCCCTGTGTGCAACGGGCCTCGTGCAGGGGAATCTTCCAAAGGCCAATTTGTGAAGAGAGAGGGGGTGAACGTTCGACTTGATGTTCAGGGGTTTGTTGTTCATGTGACACCTGCTGCTGCTAAGAGGAGCCGGGTGGTAGAACTCCTGCCCAGGTGACTGGAAATGTGTCCTCTCGTCTAGAGGGACTAACTAGAAACTACCGACCGCTATACTTACCTGCATGCCTCCAGTTTCCATCCCGGACACACCACACGATCCATTGTTTACAGCCAAGCACTGAGGTACAACCGCATATGCTCCAACCCCTCAGACAGAGACCTACACCTACAAGACCTTCAACAAGCATTCTGTAAACTGCGATACCCACACGAGGAAGTGAGGAGACAGATTGACAGAGCCAGACGTGTACCCAGAAGCCTCCTGCTACGGGACAAGCCCAAGAAAGAAACCAACAGAACACCACTGGCCATCACCTACAGTCCCCAGCTAAAACCTCTCCAACGCATCATTAGTGATCTACAACCCATCCTGGACAATGATCCCTCGCTCTCACAGGCCTTGGGAGGTAGGCCGGTCCTTGCCCACAGACAACCCGCCAACCTGAAGCATATTCTCACCAGCAACTACACACCGCACCATAATAACTCGAACTCAGGAACCAATCCTTGCAACAAACCTCGGTGCCAACTCTGCCCACATATATACACCAGCAACACCATCACAGGACCTAACCAGACCAGCCATACTGTCACTGGTACATTCTCCTGCACATCCACCAACGTAATATATGCCATCATGTGCCAACAATGCCCCACTGCTATATACATCGGCCAAACAGGACAGTCCCTACGTAAAAGAATCAATGGACACAAATCTGATATTAGGAATGGCAACATACAAAAACCTGTAGGGGAACACTTCAATCTTCCTGGACACACAATTGCAGATCTAAAAGTAGCCATCCTGCAGCAAAAAAACTTCAGGACCAGACTTCAAAGAGAAACTGCTGAGCTACAGTTCATCTTTAAGTTTGACACAATCAACTCTGGATTAAACAAAGACTGTGAATGGCTTGCTAACTACAAAAGCAGCTTCTATTCTCTTGGAATTCACACCTCCAGATCAGCTGCTAGAAGTGGGCCTCATCCTCCTTGATTGGATCCACCTGGTCATCTCCAGCCTGATCCTGGCCTGCATATTTATTCCTGCCTCTGGAAATTTCCACTACATGCATCTGACGAAGTGGGTCTTTGCCCACGAAAGCTTATGCTCCTACACTTCAGTTAGTCTATAAGGTGCCACAGGACTCCTCGTCGCTTTTGCAGATTCAGACTAACACAGCTACCCCTCTGATAAGCCACCATGGATGTAGAGGCTCTCTACACAAACATCCCACATGCAGATGGAGTACAAGCTGTCAGGAACAGTATTCCTGATGATGCCACAGCACAACTGGTGGCTGAACTCTGTGAATTTATCCTCACACACAACTATTTCAGATTTGGTGACAACATATACCTCCAGACCAGTGGCACTGCTATGGGCACCCGCATGGCCCCACAATACGCCAACATTTTTATGGCTGACCTGGAACAACGCTTCCTCAGCTCTCGTCCACTTACACCCCTTCTCTACCTACGCTACATCGATGACATCTTCATCATCTGGACCCATGGGAAGGAGACTCTGGAAGAATTTCACCATGATTTCAACAGCTTCCACCCCACCATCAACCTCAGCATGGACCAATCTACACGGGAGGTCCATTTCCTGGACACCACGATACAAATAAGTGACGGTCATATCAATACCACCCTATACAGAAAACCTACCGACCGCTATACTTACCTGCATGCCTCCAGTTTCCATCCCGGACACACCACACGATCCATTGTTTACAGCCAAGCACTGAGGTACAACCGCATATGCTCCAACCCCTCAGACAGAGACCTACACCTACAAGACCTTCAACAAGCATTCTGTAAACTGCGATACCCACACGAGGAAGTGAGGAGACAGATTGACAGAGCCAGACGTGTACCCAGAAGCCTCCTGCTACGGGACAAGCCCAAGAAAGAAACCAACAGAACACCACTGGCCATCACCTATAGTCCCCAGCTAAAACCTCTCCAACGCATCATTAGTGATCTTCAGCCCATCCTGGACAATGATCCCTCGCTCTCACAGGCCTTGGGAGGTAGGCCGGTCCTTGCCCACAGACAACCCGCCAACCTGAAGCATATTCTCACCAGCAACTACACACCGCACCATAATAACTCGAACTCAGGAACCAATCCTTGCAACAAACCTCGGTGCCAACTCTGCCCACATATATACACCAGCAACACCATCACAGGACCTAACCAGATCAGCCATACTGTCACTGGTACATTCTCCTGCACATCCACCAACGTAATATATGCCATCATGTGCCAACAATGCCCCACTGCTATATACATCGGCCAAACAGGACAGTCCCTACGTAAAAGAATCAATGGACACAAATCTGATATTAGGAATGGCAACATACAAAAACCTGTAGGGGAACACTTCAATCTTCCTGGACACACAATTGCAGATCTAAAAGTAGCTATCCTGCAGCAAAAAAACTTCAGGACCAGACTTCAAAGAGAAACTGCTGAGCTACAGTTCATCTTTAAGTTTGACACAATCAACTCTGGATTAAACAAAGACTGTGAATGGCTTGCTAACTACAAAAGCAGCTTCTATTCTCTTGGAATTCACACCTCCAGATCAGCTGCTAGAAGTGGGCCTCATCCTCCTTGATTGGATCCACCTGGTCATCTCCAGCCTGATCCTGGCCTGCATATTTATTCCTGCCTCTGGAAATTTCCACTACATGCATCTGACGAAGTGGGTCTTTGCCCACGAAAGCTTATGCTCCTACACTTCAGTTAGTCTATAAGGTGCCACAGGACTCTTCGTCGCTTTAACTAGAAACTGTTTTTAGAGTTCACCTTCTGTGAATTCCCTTTGTGAAACCAACCCTCTGAGCATTTTCCTGAGCAGATTAGAGGCCAAAACGTTGTTGCACGTTTTGAATTTAAATTACAGTGGGACTTCCACGTGGCGGCACATTTGAAAAGGGAATATTAATACAAAAAAGCCATTTACCTGGTCACTAATTTCCCCTCTTCCCCGGGCCCTTATTGTGCTTCTGCCCTCTCACATCGGTTTCTTCTGCTGCCAAAGCCGTACGCCTGTCTGTGAGCTCACCCGTGGGATGGAGCACTGTGGCGTTACTGCAGAATGAGGGAGGGAGGAAGGCTGGGCTATGACATTGCAAGTAGCTTAAGTGGCAATGGGACTGTCAGCAGTGGTGTCATGATGCTGGGTGTCACCGTCCATGCACAGCCGGAGCAGTGGCCCTTTAAATCACCACCAGAGCCCTGCATGAGGTGGTCGGGTACACACTGAGGGGCTGGCTGGGGAGACGCGGCATAGTCTGGGCAGTGCAGAGGGCTCCTATCCTTGCCCCTCCTGCCTGGGGCTTCATTCTCCTGCCCCCCCCTCCCCCCGACACACAAATACACGCTGCCCAGGGCCTGGCAACATCTGTTGCCACCTCTGATCCTGACTGTAAATTCTCTTTTCAGACATGGCACACGCTGTGCTGGACAAGTGGCAGCGAAGGCAAACAACTCCAATTGTGTAGTAGGCATCGCGTACAATGCAAGAGTCGGAGGTAAGGCTGGAGCTAGACGGTGGCTTTCTCGCTGCATATGGTTTGCTACTTGTACGCCTTTATTTCCTGGACCTGTAGTTCTGGCAGCAGGGGAGTCAACACCCTTGCCAGGTAGGGTTGCCAGGTGTCCAGTATTCACCCGGATAGTCCGGTATTTTTGGCTCCTGTCCAGTAAAAAAATTCAGAGAATACCGGACACCTGAGATGTCCCGTATTTTCTGAATTTTTCCCCGGCCAGGAGGCGAAAATGCCAGGCACCTGGCAACCCTACAAACACTCAGCACCCGGCTTCCCCCCCTCCCTCGCCCTAGGCTTACACCTGCATGACCCTGCCATGGGCATATTTCAAAAAAGTGTAGAAAGTAAGAACCATTGCCATTTCTAGCAGTGTTATCCTCTATGCCCTCCCTCTGAAAATAATACTGTTAGAGGCAATTGTAAGCAGATGCTGATTCTACTTCAGGACCCGTATGTGGGTCTTCCTAAGTTAGTAAATGGAGAAAGTAGGTGGAAATGTTTCTCTTTCAACCATGTATCCTTTCTCCCATGTGAAGTGTTTGAAACATTAATTTTGTCTGCTCTGAGCAAGCAACTGTGTGGAGGGTTTTTTTGTGGTGTGTTTTTTTTTTTTTTTTTTTTTTTTTTTGCAGGGGGAGGGGAAGGTGTTCGGTATTTTTGTTTCAACCATCTGGCAACCCTATCACTGGGCCCCTGGGTAAGGTGGAAGAGAGGCCTCCTCTGCACTCCCAGAAGGGGCAGGGCCTCAGGTGGAAGGGGCGAGGCTGGGGCAGCCAATCCTGAATGCTGCTTAGACTATGGCATCTCCCCCACCCCCTCAGCCCTTAGTACTGTGTGGAGCATGCTACATGGGGCTCCCACTGTAATTTAAAGGACCTGGGGCTTCAGCCACCTCAGGCCCTTTTGAATCACCAGACCCGGGGGCAGATGCCCTTTTTGTCCCCCTCCCCACCTCCTTCTTGTTACCAGGCCTGTCTGCCAGTCTGGACTGGTGGGTTGTGATTTCTTGAACTGAGACTGACAAGGGACCAGTGGGGTCTGGAGCATGACCTGGTCTTGATCTGCTTTGAGTCACTATAGTTAAGGACGCCCTTATGTCCTTAATTGAGATTAACCCTGAAGAGGCACCTCTCCTCTTTCCCCTCCCCCAACAGCAGAGTCCGTTTTTTTGAAGAGTTAGGGATCCACTGAAATCAGCTTGCGAGGACGTTGCTGACCGTGTGGCCCTCTGCATCCTGTGGATCCTCAGTTAGTACAGATCACCGGTGGCTACAGCTGCTTGGAGTCTCTTCCCCACATGTGTGGGTTTCACTGAGAAGAGTTTCTTTGGGTTTTTGAGCGAGAGATTTCTGGTGTTTTGGGCACTAGCCTGGCATGTGAGAGACCCAGTTCAAGTGCTCGCCCTGCCTGAGCTAGATGGAAGATCTCTGGTCCGAATCAGGCAGAGCTGGAATTTGAAGCTGGGTTGGCTCCATTCTAGGCGGTGCTGTAGTCCACAGGATGAATGGGAGCTCACATCCTGATCCCAAAGTGGTCATTAGGACATGACTCTCTAACCCCAGAAACTTCCAGAAGGTTTTGGGGTTGGTCCAGTGTGGAATGAAACCAAATTTCAACACTTCAAAAGGTCCTGCTGGGGTGGCCCCTTCTCCTTGACAGTCAGCTGCATCTGCTCCAATGGCGGAACAAGAACATCCCAGTTCAGCTCTATATTCTCCTCAGAGACTAATGGTCCACTTGTGATCAGGCTAACCTGGGAACCGTGGCAGCTTGGATCTTGGCCTTCTCGTGGCAATCAACAGGGAAAGTCAAAAGGAAAAGGTTAGCTCCGCATTTGATAAAGGGCCTGGTTTGGAGTTGGCAGTCCTGCTGCGAGTACGCCACACCCTGCCTCCCCAGGCAGCCCTCACAGCTGCCTGGAGCACACCACACGGCACTCCAGCGGCGATTTAAAGGTCTCAGGGCTCCAGTCACCACTGCTGCCACAGCCACAGCAGCCAGGAACCTGGGCCCTCTTTTGAATTCCTGGGCTTGGCTCCCTTTGCCCCTCCCCCTTCAGTTGGCCTGATCCTTGTGGACTTTTCCCCCATATTTTGAATTGAGCCAACATGATTTCTATAGAATTGCGTCTTTGACAGAACCTGTCCTGCTTGACACACAGAGAGCTTGCCTGGGCTTTTGGGAGTGTTTCCAATCAAGTCAGACCCTTGACTATCTGACTGAAAATTCCTGGCACTGTTTTCATTTCCTCTTGCATCTAAATCCGGGAAATCCCGGGCCCAGCGCAGCAAAGTCTCTCTGCATGGTTCAGTCTCCGCGCTCTTTGTATTTTGCCTTAGTAGCAATAGATTTTACTGGCAAAGCTTTTCTAAAGGACAGTTTGCGGGGTTGCTGTGGGCAGGCCACTCGCCGCTTTATGCAAGTGTAACTTGTGGAGCAGAGAACTGGACGTGGTTTTCTCACGGTGCTCTTCCCCCTTCACTGCCCTCCCCTTGGCTGCTGGCTTTGCCCTGCCTGGATGCAGCTTGGCAGCGGGGTGCCTCTCCCACATCGCTCTGTCTTGTGGCTATTTAGGAATTGGCAATGCCGCTAGCAGCACTTCATCTCGGACTGAGTGGAAATGTTCCCTCTGAGAGGGATGGCTGAGCTTGCTGGGAACATGGGAATGGGGCTGTGGGAAGATTTTGGGGTGTTCCCAAAGGAAATGCAGAGTAGGATGTGAGTTGAAGGGGAACAGCCCCTTTATTGCTCTTCCATTTCATTGCTGTCCTGACTTTCCTACCCCCTTTCCTCCCTGTTTATCGCTGTGTTCCCCTTTTTTTTGTATTTACCACACCCGCATTCTGGGCCCTTTCTTTTTCCCTCTAGTGCCAGCCTTGCCTAGCTCTCAAGGCAGAAGCCACACAAGAAGTTACCTTTGGCCCCATGTGCAATGGGGCCGACATGGTGTGGGGACATCCATGGCTCCCTGATTATAGAGAAGCCTAAGCCAGCAGGTGTAGCACTTTCTGAAGCTATCGCCATCACAGTCGGTGGTTTCGTGGCTAGGATTCCACGCTCTCACTGTTGTGGGCTGGGTTCACTACCCAGTCAGGAAAGTTTGATAGAGGTCTGGTCCCCCCTGTGTCAACCACATTTCCCCTTTCCAATGCATCCTTCTCAAATCTCCCTAAAGGAAACTGCTCTCCCTTCGGCGTCCCCCCATTTCTCCTTCTTTGCCTCCATCCCCCCACTGCCATGTGGACACCAGCATATTGCTCTTTCGAAAGTGGGGGTGCAGGAGCACAGGGATGAAACCATTTCTAACGTGGAGGCTGGTCGTTAGGGAGGTCTGCTCATGTTCCGAGCTGCGTCTCCGGCAGCAGGTGGGTCCGAGCGCCCAGAAACCAGGCCCTTTCTGTCCCGCCCTTGTGGACAAAGAACACATACCAGGAGGGGGCCGCCCGTTCTGATGGAGAGTTGACCTATTAACATGGTTTGCAGTAGGATCCCACTGCCCTATCTTTATCCGCGTGGCTCTCACATTCTTTGTGCACACGACCTGAGCTGGGAAAAGGGTGCTCTGACTGCAGAGAGAGGGAACCGCCTTCCCAGGTGGAGAAGGGAATCTGCCAGGTGCCACGTTCTACTCTCCGGAATTTTTGACGTGCCACGTTCTCTCCGGAATGCTTGGCTCGTCGGACAAGCCTGTCTGTTTGCGCTGGGGGTAAAATGGCTAGCCTGGTCCAGCTACCTGTGTCGCTTCAGCATATTCTCCTTCTCAGATCCACCTGCCGAGCAACAGCAAACGTCACACGATAATGACATTTATTTAGGGGCCCCTGCCCTGCCCTCCCCCTAGGAATTTGGTATTTCTATCTAATGAAATAGATCCGGTAAATAACTGAAAAGTACACATTTGTACAAACCCAGGCACAATGGCTCTCTTGCCCCCTGACCTCGGTGCTACTGGAACACACGTAATAAACAGTAATGACGTCAATGAATCTTTATCAGTAAATTGTTTGTTTGTGTTAGCATGTCTGGGAGCCAGCTCAGATTTAGAGCATTTTAAAGGATCTGCTTGCCCCTAGAGACTGATCTAATCAGCTCGGAATTGTGTAGCTGTCAGTGACATGGAGTGTCGGGGAATCTGGCTTTGCAAATGGGATAGAAGGAAGTCTGGAATTGTCGTGTGCTACAAGCTCCTTTGGGTGCAGCCGCCTACCAAACCTACAGGAAACTTCCTGTGTAAACCAGTTGCCAAAAGGTCCCCTTCGCCCTCCCGGTCTGATTCGTGTCACCTCATTGGCACAAGCAGGGGGATGTAGCTGCTCCATCAGCTACATTGTAGGAGCCTTATTTGATACTTTGCCATGGGTAGGTGTGGCCCTTGCTCTATTACCCTTTGAACACTAGCGTGAGCTCACTACTTGTATTAATAGTAGGAAGGCTTAGACCTGGGCTTAGACATGGTCCTGACACAGCATCTCCTCTGCTTCAGTTCAGTTGCAGAGAAAGGAATTAAACCTCTTTGTACATCTACCTGCTTCTGTACCTCCTCCTTGGACTTTTACTGTCTTCTGCCAGCACCTCTGCCCGGCTAGCTCTCTCAGGTGTCTTGCATAAAACCCTACGAGGCAGAAGTCACGACAGCTCAGCAGGACTCCATCCGAGAGAATATTTCCCACAATGCCTCAGGAGGGCAGAGGCTCCTCGCATCCATGTAAGAAATTCTTGCCTCCTGTATGGTGAAAGTGAATCTTGAAAATTACCCACAAGCCAGTGTGCCAGCAGCAAGAGCTGAGGCAGTACGGGATAGCAGTCAGTGCTTTTCCAGAATATCTTGATACCAAATGGTTATGAAACTTGACAAGGGAGGATGTGTCCATATGGGTGACTTAGGCCAGGTCAACACTCTAAAACAGGGGTGGGCAATAATTTTTGGTGGGGGGCCACTCCAAGATTTTGGAAAGTGGTGAAGGGCCGCACTTTTCTGTAGA